AGCTCCAAAGTGCACGTGGAGGCCAAGGGCTGCAGCAGGCGGCTGGTGGTGCAGCAGGTGGGCAAGGCGGACGCTGGGGAGTACAGCTGTGAGGCTGGGGGCCAGAAGGTGTCCTTCCACCTGGATGTTGCAGGTCAGTTCTTTAGGGTAGTGAATTAGCCTTGTTTGGGAACATGGGACTGATTTAGAGCCCAGATTATCTCTACTATTCTCACCATCACCTCCCATGTCACATCCTCCTACCTTCCTATTTATCTTCACATGGGAGGCTCAGGAGTGGCTTGATTGAACAGGTGTGTAAGAAGGAAGGGGACCACTTGTGTCCACCTTCAGTGGTGTTTAGCACACTGATGCTTAGTTATATGTTCCTCAAACCTGCCCAGTTTCTTTGTGGCCTGGAATTTGGGTCTGAAGTAGACCAGGTGCTTCTCACCTGGGAATATGTAAATTTCCTCCTATTGGATGGTCTGGCAGCTACCAGGTTCACTCACTCAGAACCACAGGCAGGTTATCACTGGTCAGATGTTTGGATCCCATTGATCAAGAATAAGGGGAAATTTCAACTACCCATCCATACTTGTAAATATCTCAGACTGACTTTGGATTATCCAAGTTTTAGATGTTCTATGAATCTCTTCCTTCCTTGCCCGTGGATGGAGAAGCCCTCTCTGCTCTTTCTGTAACAGCTAGATCCATTCCATGTTGCGATGTCCGTGTAAAGTATACAAAAGCAGAGATTGGTAGATACATGCCTGTGATACATACCTCTGAGGTATGGAATATTCCTTTTAAAGCAAATCTTTTGTATTCAGTTAAAGCATTCTTGGTCAGAATTCCCCTTGGAGTCTGATATATAAATTTAGAAATGGAGAGGAATAAATAGCTTAGGCTATATCAGCACACTTTGTTAAAGATGAGTTACTGTAATGGCAGCCTCACTGGTAGACCAGTATTTATTTTGTAGCATTACCTAGTGATTAGTGTGTATTTGTGCTTCCTTGGCTGGTTCATAGAGAAGGCTGAGAAATGTGTTCATTTTCTTTTGTTAAGAGAGTCTTAGCGTTCAATAAGGATTCCACATTTGACTTAGAGGTGCCACCACAAAACAGTGTGGTATCCTATCTGTATTTAGTGGTTTGTGGTGTAAAGATATAAAAAATTATGCTAGTTATCTTTGTGAAACATTATTTGAAGAGAACTTGGCAGATTATTTCATGGTAAAAATTTTGAAAGTTTAAAAATTTAATAGCAAACTACCATATCAAAACTGACATAAGGAGAAATGGAAAATTCAAATAGTCCTATAAATTTTAAAGAAATGGAACCATTAATAAAAAAAAAATATTTGCAAGGCACCTGTCAGTTAAGCATCTGATTCTTGATTTCAGCTCAGGTCATGATCTCAGGGTTGTGAGATTGAGCCCTGCATCGGGCTCTGTGCTGGGCGTGGAGCCTGCTTGAGATTTTCCCTCTCCTTCTAACTCTACCCCTCCCCCCTCTTTAAAAAAATTTTTAAAAAAATATTTTCATAGAGAACAGTCTAAGCTAAGTGGATCTACTGGCTAGTTATACCAAATATTCCTGGAAAGACATTATCCCATTTTCGTGAAGATTTTTCTAGAGAATAGAAAAAGGATGTACACTCTCCAACTCATTTTATGTAGACGTAGATAGCATAATATTAATGTTGAAATCTTATGAGGAAAACACGTGGAGTTAAAATTATAGGCCAAAACCTTCTGAATATCAAGGCTAAACTCTTTTTTTTT